CCTCAACCCAGTTAGAATGGCTAAAATCAACAACTCTAATAACAACAGATGCGGGAGGGGATGTGGACAGAAGGGAACCTTACTGCATTGTTGGTGGGAGTGTAAACTTGTTCAACCACTTTGGAAAGCAGTATGGAGGTTCCTCAAAAGACTTCACATAGAACTCCCCTATGATCCAGCAATCCCACTTTTGGGCATTTACCCAAATGATCACAAACAAGACCACACTAAAGCTACCAGAACAACGATGTTTATTGCAGCATTATTTACTATAGCTAAGATATGGAACCAACCCACATGGCCCTCAGTAGATGAATGGATCAAGAAAATGTGATATATATACATATATATATATATATATATACACACACACACAATGGAATTCTATGCCTCCATCAGAAAGAATGACATTGCCCCATTTGTTAGGAAATGGAAAGGCTTGGAACAAATTATATGAAGTAAAGTAAGCCTGACATGGTATTTTCTTTTTTCCCTTGTCTAATACTTCCAGGGCCATCCTCTGCTCCCTTTTGTTTTGTTTGCCATCTGTTTTGTTTGAGCTCTGTATTTTCTTGTTCCTCTCTAGTAGACAGTCTGTTTTTAGTTAAATTTTTGTTTTGTTTTATGGCCTAAAAAAACGTTATTTCTTGGTGTATCAAGTTCAGCAATGAAGCCAGGAATGGCACGCATGCCTGTAGTCCCAGTGCTCAGAAGGCAGAGGCAGGAGCGTCACACATTGAGGTTATCCTGGGCTACATGAGAGTATCTTAAGAAATCGAGACAAGCCGGGTGCTGGCGGCTCACGCCTGTCGTCCTAGCTATTTAGGAGGCTGAGATCCGAGAATCACGGTTCAAAGCCAGCCTGGGCAGGAAAGTCCATGAGACTCTGATCTCCAATAAAACACTAGAAAACTGGAAATGGGGCTGGGAAGGTGGCTCAGTGGTAGAGCGCTTGCCTTGCATGCATGAGGCCCTGGGTTCGATTCCTCAGCACCACATAAGCAAAAAGAAGAAAGCCGGAAGTGGCGCTGTGGCTCAAGTGGTAGAGCGCTAGCCTTGAGGTGAAGAGCTGAGGGACAGTGCCCAGGCCCAGAGTTCAGGCCCCACGACTGGACCCAAAAAAAAAGAAAGAAAACTGGAAATGGCGCTGTGGCTCAAGTGGTAGAGCGCTCGCCTTGAGCTGAACAGTGCAGGGACGGTGCCCAGGCCAAGTTCAAGCCCCACAACCCACATAGAAAAAAAAGAAAGAAACTGAGACAAAACCAACAAACAGAAAGTTGCTAAATGTGGCGTGAGTGTCCGCCGTAGGTAGACCTGCCAAGAGGCCATGAAGGGCAAGACCAAGATTGGGCACCAGCGGTGTGGCAGCAGGGCGTGGGCAGCGGTGGCCTGTGGGTGGCGGGGCTGCCGCTGCAGGGGAGGAGGCCTCCGTGACCACTCAGGCCGGTGCGCTTCCAGCCGGAGTGGGGGGCAACACACAAATGCTCAAGGAACTGTGCCCAGAGCCCCAAAGCAGCACAGAGAGGGCACTCAGGGGACAGGGACACCAGCGTCACTAGAACCAAGCTGGAGGACAGCGGGCTGGGGCCGGCCGGATCTGCTGTCCGTCCTCAATGTGGCCGGGAGGACCAAGCCACGTGGCAGGAAGAGGGTGGCCTTGCGCGGAGATCCTCTTTCCTGGAGGCACGGCGCAGCCGGACGGGTCCCTCCTTCCTCCACTGCCCTCGCTGGGCTGCCAGGAGGAGGAGACTGTCGTTGCCTCACAGAAGGTTCTAGCTGGGGGACAGCAAGCTTCCTCTACCACACCAGGAGCCATTGCTACAGCTTGTTTTGTCATTTATTTGTGCTGGTCCTAGAGCTTGAACTCCAGGCCAAGGCCTGGCGCTGTCCCGGAGCTTTTCTTCAAGATGAGCGCTCTATCACTTGAGCCACAGCTCCACTTCCAGCGTTTCGGTAGTCCATTGGAGATGGTCTCAGGGACTTTTCTGCCTGGGCTGGCTTTGAACTGCGATTCTCAGATCTCAGCCTCCTGAGTAGCTAGGATTATAGGCTTGAGCCTTGAATTTCATTGTTTTTCAAAACTACAATGTTGCTTTTCCCTTCTGTAAAAAATGAGTAAATCGGGCACCATTGAGAAAGATGTGAGGTAGCCAGGCACCGGTGGCTCACGCCTGGAATCCTAGCTGTTCGGGAGGCCGAGGTCTGAGGATCACAGTTCCAAGCCTGCCCAGGCAGGAAAGTCTGTGAGACTCCTATCTCTGTCTCTAATAAACTACTTAGAAAAAGCTGGCCGTGGCAGCCTGCCTCCAGTAGTAGAGCGCTAGCCTTGAGTACACAAAGGCTCAGGGACAGTGCTCGGCCCTGAGTTCAAGCCCCAGGACTGGCAATAAAAAAAGAACGAATGAAGGGAAGGAAGGAACGAAAGGAAGGGAGGGAGGGGGGGGAATGTAGGTGTCCTGTGCCTGCAAAACGGCCCTGGTTTCCAGACCTCCCTGCACAGCTTCTCTGGCTTCACCGTATGAGACTGGGGGCCTGGGGACGAGGGGGAGGGCAGTGGGGGTGTCTCTGCCCCCACAGAGCAGGGGATAACTGGACAGGGCACAGTGGGTCCCACCCTTGGGAGGCAGAGGTGGCTTGGAGAGGGGGGACGCGGGGTCCCCAGGCAGGTGGGCCACAGAGCTCAGGACCCAGCACTGCCCAGGTGACCCGGGGCTGCAGGCGGGCTTGGGGGACCGAGTGTGGCAGGAGAATGCTCTAACAGGGAGGCTGCCCCTCGGGGTGCCAGCCAGGCACCAGGACCGCACTGGCCCAGCAGCTTCACTCCCGACCTTAGTTGGTGCCCCGGAGAGGGCAGCAGGGCCTCGCCCGGGGACTGGCTCTGCGGGCAGGTGTGCGGCTCCTGCTGGCCCTGCCCACCCCGCGGCCTGGTGGCTCGGGCCTCCCGACACCCGCCTTGCGCCTGCGTTGAGCCTCCGGAGCCCTGGCTGAGGCACACAGCACAGGAGGGAGAGCCGTCGATGGGGACCCCGGTGTCCCCGCACACGCTGCAGTCCCGGGGTGCCCATCGCAGCTGGGGCCCCTGCAGCTGATACTCCTCTGAGAAACAACCCACGTGCTCACGTGCGGGTGTCCGTGCAGACGTGAGCCGGGCCAGAGAGAGAGAGCAGGGGCCACAGAACAAGGAAAGCCTTGTGGCCCTGCTTCCCACACCCAGGAGGTGGGGTGGGGGCTGCCGGAGGGGGTCAGGGGGGGGGGGTGGGGGCTGCTGGAGGGGGCCAGGGGGTGGAGGCAGGGGCTGCTGGAGGGGGCCAGGGGGTGGAGGCAGGGGCTGCTGGAGGGGGCCAGGGGGTGGAGGCAGGGGCCGCTGGAGGGGGTCAGTGTGGGGAGGGGGTGGGGGCCGCAGGAAGGGCCAGGCTGCGGTGGGGTTCACTGTGGAATGGTGTCTCCCATGCGCGCGCAGGGCAGGGCGAGGTGACAGGAGTCGTGGGGCACGGGGCCTCCACGCATGGCAGGTTGTGGGGTTCCCTGGGTGGCTGAAGCCACCTGAGCTAACCGGAGCTTCCTAGCAGCCAGTGCTTCCCCTGCCGCCTCCAGCCCCCGGTGCCCTCTGGCCAGACGACACGGGACTCCATCCCAGTGCTGCCCAGTCCTTTGACTGGCATGTGCCACCCGCCCTGCCCTAAGGCAGCCCCCCAGGGGCGGTGTGAGCCCAGCGGGGCCCTGCCCCTCCCTGCCCCTCCCTGCCCCAACCCGTCCGATGGCGGCATCCACAGAGACACCCTCGGCTGGGGCAGTGTGGCGCCGCTCCCTCCCTGACTGTGTGGGGGTGAGCTCCAGGGACCATCCCTGCCATCCCATGTGCCCTGTGCCCAGCGGGCCCCGAGCCCCCACAGATGCCCTGAGCATCACAGGCTCACATGGCCTTTCCTCTCGTCAGGAAGCAGGGGCTCTGTTCGCTGGAAGCAAGGTCAAGCAAGGGATCGTTCTCCACCTGTTTCTCAGTTGGACACACCTGGCTCTTGGTGAGCGGTGTGTCGCCCCTGCCGTGTCCAGGAATTCCGCTCGTTCTTCCGTCTGTGCTGGGTGGAAGCAGCTGTAAGGCGGTGGAGCAGTGCTCTGCCTCGTCCCCGGGCTGTGCTCTGCACCACATACCTCCAGCCCCACTTGGCCCTCATGCTCCGGGCCGCCCCAGCCAGCCCGCCCCTCCCTGTCCACATCCAAGGCCGGGTCCTGCCCGTGGCCGCATTGCCGGCACCGGCTGGCATTGACTCTGGCACCGCGCCCTCATGCTGTTTCTGAACCTGGAGCCTCAGTTTCCCCATCTTTGAGGAGGCCGTGTGGGAGAGGGGGCTCCCGGGTGGGAGGGGCTGAGGCCCCTCTGTATTTCCCAGTAGAGCCCACACCCAGGTCCCGGGGCCCAGAGCCCCACCCTGGCCGCAGCCTCTCCTCGGGGAGCCGCTCCACCATTGCCACCGTGGACTCCAGGCCGGCGGGCAGCGAGGCAGCTTGGCTTTCTCGTCCAGGAGACCCACGGGGGGGGAGGGTGGCTGGTAGGTGGGGCCGCAGCACGGATGCCCAGCACAGCCAGGGGCAGGAGAGGGCTGGCAGCTTGACTCTGAACAGGGAACGGGACCCTTAAAAAGGGTGGGAATGCGGGTGTCCAGCCTGGCAGAGGGGCCACTGGGAGCCAAGGGGCAGAGTCCTCCTCACCTGCCTGTGCCCACCAGCCCAAAGCAGGCTCAGAGACGCGGGCGCACCGGTGCTGTGCTGTGCGTGGTGGCAGGTCGCCTTGCGTCTGGGCCTTGTTGAGGTGTGAGGGCAGAGCGGCCTTCAGGTCTGTTCACCAGCGTGGTGTGTGCGGAGCGCGCATCCTCACACATGTGCCCGGGGACCCCAGGGCTGGACGGTGCCACGCAGCCCCCCGTGCCAGCCGCCTAGGCAGGAAGGAGCCCTCTCCTCTCCCAAGGAACTGCCTGGTCGTATTGGGGGTCCGTGCTCAGATGGAGGCCGCAGACTGTGCTTTCCCCGTGTCCAGTGGAGGCTCAGAGGCGCCAGGTGTGAGGCCCGTGCTGCAGGCTGGGCCTTTGAAGGGCCACCAGGGGCCCTAGGAGGGGAGCTGAGGAGGAGCCCGGGGTGGGGGAGCCTCAGGGATACCTGGCGGGGGGAGACAGTGACACCCCGTACCCTCTGTTGCAGCAACCCAGCTCTTCACGGTCACCGCCTACCAGGACACGGACTACAGCACCCTCATCCAGGAGCAGTGCCTGGCCCGCTTCAAGGAGAACATGGAGGCCGTGGGGAGGACGCTGTGGTGCGACTGGGGGAAGACCATCGGGTGAGTCCCGGCAGGGGTGAGGCTGCAGGCGCCCCAGAGCCAGCCGCCCATGGGCCTCAGCGGCACAGTTGTCCACCGTCCAGGGTGACGGGGGGGGGGGTTGGGGAGAAGGAGGGCATTGGTGGGTGCCGTGAGCGTAAGTGGGCGGCATGGGTATTGACAGTGGCGGTGGCCTCTGCTGGTGGTGGCAGCAGGTTGGGAGAGCTGAGCCAGGTCAGAGCAGGTCGGGCCAGGCGGGGCGTCCCCGCTGGGCCGCTAGCCAGGCCAGGGCCGCCCTCCCCCACCCTCCCCAACCCGTCCCGCCGAGGGTCGCCCCGTCCTGCTCGGGACCTCGTTCCCACTCCTAGGGGCTCGCTCGCTGCCTCTGGGTCCCAGGGACCCCCCCACAAGCCTGGGGTGCTCCTCAGCCAGGCCAGGCACCCCGCAGGAGCAGGAATCAGAACTGGGTGTCACAGTCCACGGTCCAGGCTTGGTGTGTGCTGCAGCGCCAGCACTGGGGGCGGCGCGGCCAGGACCTGCGGCAGGAAACCTGCGGGCCCAGAGCCAGGACGCGGGGACCAGGAAAGGCTTCAAGCCGTTGCCAGGGACTGGCGAGCGGGTCTGCCGAGGAGTCCGGGGTCACGTGCAGGGTGCGCCCGCACAGTGCAGACAGCAGGACACCCAAGAGGGCACCCTGCCCGGTGTTTCGGCCTGAGGTATGAGAGAGCAGAGAGCTGGGGCTGATGGGTGGAGGACAAGGAGAGGCTCTGGGAGCACCCCCCACACACACAGGAAGATGGAGCCACTGTCATTCACACTGTGTCCCTTCGAGGGTGCTGGGCACCCCTGGTCTCCTGCTGGGAATTGGGGGGGACAGAGCGGACTGAACTCCCGGCCCTTCCCCATGGGTGAGGCTGGCCTGCACCTGCGCCCAGCACCCACAGCTAGTCTTCTGTCCATAGCACCTTGGGGTGGGGGCCACATTGCCCTTCTGAGCCCTGGCTCCGGCCTCTTCCCACCAACGGAGCCCACTTGGCCCCACCATGGCCCACTCTGAGGCCCCCTGGGAGCTCCCATGGCCAGGCTCGGGTGGCAGCGGCCCGCTGTCTCCCTCAGTCAAGGCCATGATGGCCATCTGGCTCTCTCCCCCTCCTATCAGCCACTGCTCTCCGATTCATTTCCCGGGCAGAGCAGAGCCAGAAGTGGAGCTCTGCCTGGGGAGTGGAAGAGGAAGCTCAGGGGGATTTGAGACTGCAGATCTCGCGCCCCCGGGGGCGGGGGGGGGCCCAGGCCCGGGACGCCCCGTGACCAGGGCCCCACACAGCCCTGCGGGGTGTACTGGAGACCCTCTCCAGATCCACAGCATTTCCCGTCCCGTTTTCTGACCAGAGGAATGGATCAGGAGCTGGAAGTAGAGAAAAACAACAACAACAACAACAAATCAGCCTGTTCCTAGGCTAACTGGCCGTCTGCCCGCTGAGCAGGCGATGCGCTAGCCGCAGGCTGTGCTCAGCCGTCCCTCTGTGATGTGTGCAGATTGATGGCAAGCCAGAGGCCTGGCGGGGGAGATGCGGTGTGTCCCCCAGGAGGCCGCCCTACCCGTTCCCCGTCCACCCAGAGGCCCACAGGCCTCTTCCCAGGCGGGGACTGCAAAGAGGGAAGATTAGCAGGCAGGCCAAAGAGGGCTCACTGATTTTAGAGTCCTGTAGGGGCTGGAATAGAAGGGGGACTTGCTAGGAAACTTTTTCTGTACAGGCTGGGGTTGTGGTTCAAGTGGTAGAGCCCCTGCCTAGCAAGCCTCAGGCCCGGCATTCACATCCCAGTACGGTTTATATATTACGCATATGCATAGGTGTGCGTGCGTGCACGCACGTGTGCATACAGTCCCTTTAGGAAGCAACAGCTTGTGGTGGTAGCACCTCAGCCAGTGATGCAGCCCTGCCAGCCCTGGCCTGCAGAGGATTCACGTCCTAACCCGAGGCCTGTGGGCCTCTCGTACCTGCAGCAAGGGGAGTTGGGGTACAAGTGGAGCTGAAGATGCCAGTCAGGCAGCCTTGCCATGGAGAATGTTCTAGATTACTCAGGTGGGTCAAATTAGTCCAAGGTTCCCCAAAGGGTCCCAGCACTCACCAGCACGGCGCTGTCCAGTGCCCCTGTGCCTCTCCCACGGCCACTGAGCGGCCACTTCGGGGCTCCACAGGTGCTCAAGCGCCCCTGCTAAGTCTGTGCCCTAGAACCGGCCATTTGTCCAAGGGCCCTGGTTGCTTTATTAGAGAATGGAATTTAAGAGCCGGGACACACACACACACATGCGTGTGCACACACACACACGTGCACACATGCACACAGATGACATGTCCCCTAGAAGCCATGCAGATACTAGAAGAATGCATGAGCGGGTCTTTAACCGCATGGAATAGTGCTGATAACCGTGCTTCCAGCTGTGCCCGGCCCGCGCTGTAGCTGCTGGGAACTGCAGGGACAGGGAGGCCCCACCGGCATCATCTCCTTTGCTTGGCCCCGCCTGCAGAGCAGGCACACCTCCAAATACCCCGCCCCGCCCGGCAGCGCACGGAGGCCCACGCACCGCTGGGGCCTGGCGCCTGGCCACACTGATGCGGGACTGGAGTCCCACAGGCTGGAGCCAGAGCTCCACCCAACGATGTGTTCAGAGAAGAATCCTGTCCCCTCCCTCGCGCCCCCCGCCACCTCCTGCGGGTGAGCATCTCATTGCTTCTACTGATTCCTCCCTGTATTGCTTTTGCACAAGTGAGCAGAGTGCATTTTTTTTCTTATGTCCTCTTTCTTACACAGTAGGTACTGTCATCATTATCTGCCTTTGCTCCATGGTTTGTTTGACTTGAAAGTATGTTCTAGAAAATACTCCTTATCAATAGATGGAGAAACCCTTCACTCATTTTCTCAGCTGGCTGCAGAACACTCCACTGGACATGGCAGCTCGGCAGCATTTTCCCATTTCAGACAGTATCTACTGAGATGGCCGGTGCCTGCACGTGTTTGTATTGGGGCTCTACGTTCACGTAGACCCTGGAATCCTGGGGTGAGGTGAGGGACGCCGCATGCTCCCCTCTGTGTGCTGTCCCCCCCAGCGCCGCTGCCCGCTGCCCAGCTGCCGGACTGCGCTAGAGCTGTGTCAGTGTACTTGCTCCCATTATGGCCCTAAGCGGGCGCCTGGGAGCACAGGAGGGGGAGAGGCAGCCAAACAGCTCAGGAGAATCCCACGTGTGCCCCAGCCAGCCAGAAGGTGGGCAGGGCCGCCCCTCCTGCGCTCACTCGTACCCCACACCGTGTGTGCATGTCATGGCGTGTTGAAGCCAGGTAATGAAACACTGCTGTCATGAAGACAGCGTGTGAGCTAAGAGCCTGCCCCGCCCCTGGGCCACCTTCGGAAAAGTTACGGCGCTTTACTGAACTCTGCGGTCACCCTGCCCCTGCTCCTAACCCACACAGCAGCCCCGCCCACCGCTCTGCGGTCCCCGCCCCCCCACCCGCTTTGTCCACCTGAGGCCATGTGGTACTTGAGCTTTTGTGCCTGGTGAACCTCAACCTGACGTGTGACCCGGTTCCCTCCGTGCTGTTGAGGATGGGGGAGAGTCGGTTGTTTCGGGGTGAATAGTACCCCACGTGATGTGCACACCGCATTTTCCTGGTCCATCCACCCACTGACGTTGGCTTAGGGTGCTTCCGTCTTTGCTAGACTCCATTTCACGGACTGTAGTGAAGATGGCCCTTCTGGGGAAAGTAGAGACAGCATTGCTGGTGCGTAGGATCTTTCCATCTTCCATCTTTTTAGGCAAGTGACTGTTTTTTGTGGGGGTTTTGGTCATTCGTGGGGCCTGGGCGCTGCCCCTCAGCTCTTCAGCTCAAGTGCTCTACTACTTGAGCCACTGCGCCACTTCTGGTTTTCTAGTGGTTTATTGAGATTAGAGTCTCACGGACTTTCCTGCCCAGGCTGGCTTTGAACCACGATCCTCAGATCTCAGCCTCCTGAGTTAGCTAGGATGGCAGGCAGGAGCCACTGGCGCCCAGCAAAGTGACTGGTTTTAAAATAGCCAACGGGCAGATGTTGTTCACCTTGCTGTCAGATGAAGGCCGATGACGGAAGGGGTCATCGCTCCACCCTTCCTGCACCGCCACCGTGTTGGCAGTGTCGCCTGGCAAAGGTGGGGCGGTGCTGGTGGGCACGGCCGCCCGGTCAGCAGCCCCCAGCAGCACCCAGAGGACTCGGCCTTGTCTCAGCTCCACAGGGCGCCTGGTCTCTGCCCTAGAGCGGCCACATGGTCTGCCTGGCTCGTGGTAACTCATGCATCCTGGTACCCGGGGCCTGGTCTCCATGGCCTTCACCCGAGTCTGAGGCCGAGGCTCCCGGGGATCTGGTGTGCCACACCGAGCCCGGCAGGCATGGTGACCAGCTGCCAGCTCTGGGAGGCGTCAGGACCCCGGGAGCAGGTGCTTGCTCCCCACTGCACCTCAGAACGGTCTCCCCGGAGGAGTGCTGCGGCTGACTGTTGACCTACGCAGACTGTGCTGGGTCAGCCCTTTTGGGGTTGACCTAGGTGGGCTGTGCCATCCCCCAGCTCCCCAGGCCGCCGCCCCCTTCGCAGGCACACAGCCCCCTTGTGCCCAGTCCAGGCGTCCAGTCTGGAAATGCTCCCAATTCAACGGCAGCCTTGGAGCAGCTGCTCTTGTTTTGAATTTCAACAGGAACTGGGCAGGAGGCATCTTCTAGGATCCTGAGGGCTCCAGCATGTTCTCTGCCTGCCCCCCACTTCCTGGGGTGGCGACCTGAGCTGTCCCCTGGGTGCACAGGACCCTGCCATAGACAAGGCCCCCACACAAGGCTGCATGGGAGCCCCTGGCACCAGCCTCGGTCCCTCCTGCTTGGCCGGCAGCTGTGCCTGCCTCTGCCTCCCTGCCAGCACCTGGGCCGGCCCGCGGGGGGCAGGGGGGAGGGCAGGTCCATCCACCCTTCACCTCATGGCTGTGGGGCCGATGTCTCC